TTTTTATGGCGTACCTAAGGTTACACATGTAAGTGATGGTATTTGGGAAAAAAGCGTAGTTGGAGTGCGCGTCACTTATGTGCGTAAGCTAGACTCGTGTGTAGTTTTTGTTAGTCTATACGCTCTACCAATAACATTGAATGTTTAACAGTTATAGAAATAGACTGATCCACTACTTTAGGCCAGAATATATTAAATACTCCACTTTATTACCAGAATATATCGAATATTCCACTATATAACCAGAATAAATTGAATACTCCACTATACATATAACCAGAATATGTCGAGTACTCCACTATACATATAACCAGAATATATTAAATACTCCACTTTACATATAACCAGAATATATGGAATACTCCACTATATAACCAAAATATATTGAATACTCCACTATATAACAATAATCTACTGAATACTCCACTACATAACCAGAATATATTAAATACTCCACTTTATAACAAGCCTCTATTAAATACTCCACTATAAACCAGAATATATTGAATACTCCACTATATAACAAGAACATATTGAATACTCCACTATACAACAAGAATCTATTGAATACTCCACTATATAACAAGAATCTATTAAATACTCCACTATATAACAAGAATCTACTGAATACTCCACTACATGAACAGAATATATTAAATACTTCACTATTTAACAAGAATCTATTCAATACTCCACTATAAACCAAAAAATAAATAAAGTACTCCACTATATAAAAAGAATCTATTAAATACTCCACTATACACCAGAATATATTAAATACTCCACTATATGAAAAGAATCTATTAAGTACTCCACTATATAACAAGAATATACTGAATACTCCACTACATAACCAGACTATATTAAATACTCCACTATATAACAAGAATCTATTAAATACTCCACTATACAACAAGAATCTATTAAATACTCCACTACATAACCAGAATATATTAAATACTCCACTATAAAACAAGAATCTATTAAATACTCCACTATAAACCAGAATATATTGAATACTCCACTTTATACCAAGAATCTATAATTAAATACTCCACTATAAACCAGAATATATTGAATACTCCACTATATAACAAGAATATATTGAATACTCCACTATATAACAAGAATTTATCGAATACTACACTACATAACCAGAATACATTAAATACTCCACTATATAACAAGAATCTATTGAATACTCCACTATAAACCAGAATATATTGAATACTCCACTAAATATCCAGAATATATTGAATACTCCACTATATACCAAGAATCTATTGAATACTCTACTACATAACCAGAATATATTAAATACTCCACCATATAACAAGAATCTATTGAATACTCCACTATAAACCAGACTATATTGAATACTCCACTTTATAACAAGAATCTTTAATTAAATACTCCACCATAAACCAGAATATATTGAATACTCCACTATATAACCAGAATATATTAAATACTCCACTACATAACCAGAATATATTAAATACTCCACTTGATAACCAGATAGATATTACGAACTTAGAAACCCAGTTTTGCCAGGATTTTTTTATTAAAGTCGACCAACTCATTGTAGAATTTCCCTAATTCACCATCCAAAGCTAAAGGCAAATCGGTTGAGGGATCATGAGTTATGATCGGACATCCAAACAAATAGACAAACATACAAATGGATAAACTGAACAAGAGCTAATTCAAAACATTATGTATAAATAAAGTAATAAACATAAACTAATTGCAATCTATGTATGTATGCAGAGCGTCCCATATCATATTAGATTATCTCCAAGCTTTAACGCCAAAAGAAACACATAAAACCTAGCATTTTCTGGAAGAAAATTTTCATATTAGCCATATTTAATTTTTTGAAATGATTCACTATTCCTATATTTTCTGATTAGTCCTAAAAATCGTAATTTAGACCCATTGACGATCTAATATGATGTGGGACACCCTGTAGATAAAAAGACAGATAGTTAGCTGATTGTAAACGTAAGCGCGGTTACTTAACCTTAAGTAGTGTAAGCTCTGCCTTCAAATATAAAACATCTATATTTCTAACTCAGTAATTTAATTATATCTTCTGGGAAATATATCATAAAATGTTGAAATTTTCCGTGAATAATTTTCATAAAACTCATTTATAGTTTTTGAGAGAAAGATATTACTGATGAAAAATACATCTTTTTTTGCATGTGTTTTTAATAATATTCGGAGACTTTATATGAAAAAGAAATAAAATAATTCATCAATTTTAACAAAGAAAAGATTTTAAATTCAAGACTTCTTGAAATCCTAATTGTAATTTAAAGATGATTCTTATTTTTTTTGCAACAAAAACTTTGTATTTTAATGTAATTTTATTGGAAAAGATGTAAAAAAAATTGTCACAACAAAACCATCTAATTCGACCTCTCCCTTTTAAATACTTGTTAAGACGTGACAAATATATATTTAAATGCAAATAAAGAATCAAATTTGCTTAAATCACACTTTCAATAGGCTTCGCACCCGTCAAAATATGCAGTATTAGTTTTGGCATTATATTTTTTTACATTTAAAAAGAATAACACACAAAAACAAAAGCGTATTTTAATGTTTTTATAATAAATATTGAAATTAAAAGTTTTAAGGTAAATTTTAAATCTTACTGCCCACTTATAGTCTACCTAAAAATTGTGGCCGGGTCTCACTTTTCACTGCACTAAGTGCTGATATGTCTCACTTTGCGCTGCACTAAGTGATAACATGTCTCAGTGTGCACTACACTAAATGCTAACATGTCTCACTTTGCATTGCACTAAGTGATAACATGTCTCAGTGTGCACTACACTAAGTGCTAACATGTCTCACTTTGCATTGCACTCAGTACTAACATGTCTCAGTGTGCACTACACTAAATGCTAACATGTATCACTTTGCATTGCACTCAGTGCTAACATGTCTCAGTGTGCACTACACTAAGTGCTAACATGTCTCACTTTGCACTGCACTCAGTGCTAACATGTCTCACTGTGCGCTGCACTAAGTGATAACATGTCTCACTTTGCATTGCACTCAGTGCTAACATGTCTCAGTGTGCACTACACTAAGTGCTAACATGTCTCACTTTGCATTGCACTTAGTGCTAACATGTCTCACTGTGCGCTGCACTAAGTGCTAACATGTCTCACTTTGCATTGCACTAAGTGCTAACATGTCTCACTGTGCGCTGCACTAAGTGCTAACATGTCTCACTTTGCATTGCACTCAGTGCCAACATGTCTCACTTTGCATTGCACTCAGTGCTAACATGTCTCACTGTGCGCTGCACTAAGTGCTAACATGTCTCACTTTGAATTGCACTCAGTACTAACATGTTTCACTTTGCACTGCACTCAGTGCTAACGTGTTTCACTTTGCACTGCACTCAGTGCTAAAATGTTTCACATCCTTGTGTCTCAGCAAGTGTTATCAAGTTTAATTACTCAAAATAATCTAAACCTGTTAAAACGGAGCCAAAGTGTCTGGAGAGTTGAGTTGCACCGAACCACAACCCTTTCAGGGTTTAATATTTAATATGTCAGATATATACCTATCTATCTGCCTAGCTGTATAGTGTATATATCTAGATAAATTCTAGTATTTCTAGTCAGAATATATTCAGCTAAATATAATAATCAAATTGACTGATATTTTTAAAGGAAATCAATAGTACCTTGAGGGTAACATAGATTAAACATTTTATTTTATTCAAAATTTGATTTCTTTTTCTTCCCCAACGTGTTTTAAAATTTTTGCTAGTATTGGAATATTTCATTTTTTGTTCTGATACCCTGATATCCTGATATACTGATATCCATTTATTTTGATATCCTTTTATCCTGATATCCTGATATCCTGATATCCTGATATCCTGATATCCTGATATCCTGATATCCTGATATTATGATATCCTGATATCCTAATATCCTGATATCATGATATCCTGATATAACTGATATCCTGATATCCTGATATCCTGATATTCTGATATCCTGATATCCTGATATCCTGATATCCTGATATCCTGATATCCTGATATTCTGATATCCTGATATCCTGATATCCTGATATCCTGATATCCTGATATCCTGATATCCTGATATCCTGATATCCTGATATCCTGATATCCTGAAATATCCAGATATGTCCCGTTCATATTATACTCTAAGCTTAGTTTTTTCTCCTGTTTTTTCTAACCGTTGATATTTTACGGATGAAAAAATGTCAAATATCTCTTCCCAAGCGAACCCAACTCAGCTTCAGGCTTTATCCACCCTATTATCTATATACTAGGCCGGGCTTATACAGAAATAAATATAGAGGGGTGCCAACTTTTTTGCCCCCCCCCCCCTCCCTAGGAACTGTAAATTTAAGGTACACATACAGTCCAATTACCTTGCATATACTTTATTATCTCTCCATCAATCAATACTATAGCAGAAAAACATGTTTTTAAAAAATCTGCATTTTAATTTAAAAGGGACATAATCTTGCCTTAGCGGAACTGAAGAGAGTAAGAAATGTTCTTGGCAAACCTGACAATATTAATTTCATTGCATCAAATGCATCATAAACAGTTGTTGCGCTATAGCATTATCATCGACAGCTATATCGGATGTATCAGATGCATCATCTCCTTAGCGTTCTGCATCCAAAATATCAACTAAAATGCATTTACTGTATCAATGACAATCTTAGTAGAATCAAAGGCATAAATGCATCACAACTTTGATTGAATGCAGCATAGTTAAGGACTTTTTCACTTTAACAGGCAACACAATTTAATCTTTCATTGATTTCTGCATCATTTCAACATTTTAGTTACATCCTGCATCAATCAATCATTTCTAAAATGCATTAAACAAATTTTTTCGTTGCGTTTCTAGGACTTAAAATGCTGAAATGTAATTTTTGTTGGAAAAAAATTGAAATGCTGATTTAAATATCTAAAGTAAATGTTAAACATAAAAAAATTAAATTATAATTTCAGAAATATAAAAATGAGAGAACTGGAGGTGTCCTCTCCTGGGAAGGTAAAAACTTTTTTCCCTTAGAGTATAAACTGTATAGATATATCAGAGGAAAACCAAGATAAAGTATTATTCTTGGAGTATACAGTGTATAGATATATCAGAGGAAAACCAAGATATAGTACTATCCTTGGAGTATACAGTGTATAGATATATCAGAGGAAAACCAAGATATAGTACTATCCTTGGAGTATATAATGTACAGATATATCAGAGAAACCCCGGAGGAAAACCAAGATATAGTACTGTTCTTCGAGTGTACAATATACAGATATATCAGAGAAACAATAAGAAATAATATCATTCTTAGAGTATACGATACCCCGATTCAAGAGACGAACACCAAAAGATAATGGTATCCTTTGAATATACAATATATAGATTTTTCACAATGAAGGAAATACTCGGACGAGAAAGCTAGTTTTATTTAATGGAAATATGACATACAAAACTTTCCTAAAATAAAAAATTTTATTTTAATTTTTATTCAAATGAATAACGTTTTTTCTCTTCAAATCAACCTATTTTATACGCTGAGAGATTGTACAATCCATCAATCATTATACAAAAGATGCATCTACTGCAGGGGTGAACGGGCATACTGTGTAGACTCTTCGCTTNGGGGGGGGATACTTTATTATTATAATATTTTTATTAATATTTTTATCTAAAATCAAGGGATTTCTAATTCAGTTTTATTTTTAAAAAATTTAACAATGGTAATTCTAGCTCTCGTCATGCTTTATAATAGTATTTAAAATACAATTTCACTGAGCATTGATTGATGCATCTTAAACGTGGATCATAATATTTGTGCCCAGACATGACAACAAGAGCTAGGTTTGAAACTATAGCCCCCCCCTGTAATATGGTTTGATATCGTTTAGGTAATCCTGTACGGAGAGCATGCTGTTGTTTTTGGTAAAACTGCATTAGCTGTCAGTATAAACCTTAGAACTAAACTTACTATTAAGGTAATCTATATACTTCTCAATATCAGCTAAACTAAATGATAACTCTTCTCAAACTCTGATTTTCTTATCCTTATGACGACGTAACCTTTGAAAAAATTCTTCAAGTTCATGCAAATGTTAAGAGTTACAGAAATAAAATTAATGTTTGAATTTCCTATTTTGAATATTATTATCTGAAGATATTTTTTTAAGGTACCTATGTCAAATTTTTAAATATTTTTTTTTAAATTGGTTGCATTCATTAATTCTAATTAAGTTCCTGGTTTCATACAAATCTTTTAATCAATCATGCGAAAAATTGCAGTCCACATGTTTTTTTTGTTATGTTTCAAGGGTTCATTCATCCTTTCACTTTTAAATTATGTTTTTTTAAACAAAAATTCTATTTAATTATTTTTTTACGTCAAACTTTTTTATTTATATATTTGTTTACCAAACTTCCTTTATACAATATATGTGTTTGCCAACCTAAGTAAAAATAATGCAGCTGTCTGTATCCTTGAACTGTTAAATCATGTTTTTTTAATTAACAAATTCTAGTGATTTTTTTTGTTTTCATACGACCCTATTTTATTTATATATTTGATGAGCAAGCTTCATTCATGTATTCTGTGTATGCCAACCTAAATATATAAAACTGCACCAGAGGCAATTACTTTAAGAATTTGTTAAGTCACAACTTTATCATTTGTCCTTTAAAAATAACATTCATTGATACAAATAAAAACAATTTAAATATTTGTCAATAAACGGTTTTATTATATTTTCCAAGTTTAAATACCTTTTTGATTCCTATTCCTTATCTACAGTGAGAAAAAGAAAGACGATTAGTTTAAATAGTTCAATAAACATGAAACACAGCTATTGTGCAGTGTACACAGACCCGCACTAAGGTGAATTTAAAACTACTGGTAAAAAATAGTTGCTTGTGTGTAACAGCCGTCAAATACACACAATATCCTTTAAATGTCGTTTTCCAATTCCATACTTTAATGGTCTTGCTTATAGTAAACATCATCATTATTAAACATTTCATTCAAATGTTTTCAAAAATTTTCTATTGTTTTCAGGAAGGTACAGACTACCTTGTTGTAAAATTCCCAGATATGAACAAAGTGTAAGTTTATATTTATAATAGTCTAATATTCTTCCTTCATCAGCAAATTACCTCTTTTAGATACAAAGGGTGTTCAAAAGGAATTCACACGTTTTTCTCTCCAAGTTTATTGGGTCAATATATATCATTATAATGTCAAAATTGGCTAACAAATTACAAAATAGTATTAGCTATTTAGTGTTCAATCATATATATTTGTGAAATTAGTTTTTTTGCGGGGGGGGGGGCACGTGGATTTAACGGTTCTGTCTATACTCCAGAAAGCTTTGACTTTCGATCACAATTTGAACCATTAAACATATTTTTTTTGCATTTTTTCAAGAATACTTTTTTTGTCGGCATATACATTTTGAATGAAAAATTATTAAAGTTGTTAAAGTTAAAAGATTGTTGAATTTTAGACCAAAGCACGTTTGATTNTTGGTCGTCTCTGATTGATCAATCGGAATTTGTTTTGTTAAATCTTGAACTCTCCTTGTACAAAGATTATTAAACTGTATTATTATATAAATACTAGGATAGGAACCATGCATTACCCAGGGTACTCTATTGTTACTCCCGTCGTTTACCCGATCTTAACTGTATATAACGATTTTAGCTATTCTTCCCAGTACAAGTCGAACCACTACCTGAGAATCTCAAAACCAGGCTAAGAAAATTAACTTGCTTCTCCCAAATTCCCCAATAAAAATTTATAGGTTAAAGGGAGTGTTCGCGAAAAAATAAGGGGGTATAGGCTTACAGCAAAAAATAAGCTCTTTTGATCGCTATTTATCTTACTTCTATCTGCTGCGTCTATAAGGAGTAATCCCAAAAGCAGTATAAGTCGTTTTTAATAATTTTAGACGCAACAGATAGAAGTAAGATTAGTAGCGATCAAAAGCGCTTATTTTTCGCCGTAAGCCTATACCTCCTTTCATTTTTGGCGAACACTCCCTTTAAATCGGTCCTGGGTTTCATGAGTTATAATTGGATATACGGACGAACAGAGATTACAACTTTATATATTTAGATATCTTCTATTGTTTATTATGATTGGTTATTGCTGGACATTGTGTTTCATGTTGGACATTCAGCAGCATATTTTGATATCTTCATTTGCTTTGAAAAGTTATATTTTTTTCGGAGATGGGGGCCTAGATACATTTAGTAAATAATAACTGCAAAAACCCTAGAAAAATGGTTGCCAAAAAAAAACAATAAAAATATTAAAAGTAAAATAATTATTTTTAATAAAGATAATTGTTTCATTTTCAGTGGAGTTTTAACAAACGGTATTACAGTTATAAGACACAAATCTTCTGTTTAATAATAATTATTTGCTTTACGGTTCATGATTTGCAATATTTTGTTTGCAAAATGTTAAAAATTGCGAATACTAATTTAGTTTTTAAGTCTGGGAATAGTAAAACTTGTTTAGTCTTATTATTATTAAGTTTTATTATTTGCCTCATTTATTATCATTATGGTTATTATTTTATCATTTTGCATTGCACTCAGTGCTAACATGTCTCACTTTATATTATTATCAACATTGTTATTATATGTCTATATATTTATTTATAGATATACCTGGAGATTGGAAGAGTTGACCCAGCTCCGTGAAAGTTTATGCCTCGATACATGTACACAGATTCCAACCCCAGCAGGTTTTAACATTGTTATTTTACTTCATGTATTTACGCTATACAATATACAATAAAAAAACGTCTAAGACACGACGGTTAGATCATTAAAAATAGTTTGCCTAGGAGCTTTAGTACTTTAAAACTCTCTTGAGCTAAAATGAACTGATTACTCGCCACAAACTTTGATTTTCTAATCCCTATATATTTGCAACCTTTGATATTGCAAACTTTGACCTTTTAACTTAGCAGAAATCATAGTCTGAAATATCAAGGGTCTCGAGAGTAGCAAATTTACATAAAAATTAGAAAATATGAATTTTATACACTTTACTTGTTTATACAATTTTAAGGTTCTTAGAGCGCTGCTTTTTTAATATTTACATAATTTTTAGACGCTGAAACAATAGAAGGAATGAGAGATTTTGTAACCTCTAGCTGTAACAACAATACAGATTCCGACAGTGGTATTGTAGCCTTTCTCTACCTTTACATGAGACTCTTCTCCGCTCTACCTCCGCTTGCGGTCAATTTGTCTTCAGAGATACCAATAGGTCCAGTATACAGTTTACTAAATAAACACATGAATTTTAGACCCTACCAACGGACCCAACCCAGTCTTGGACTCTCTAACCGAGTGTCGAATGTAGAGTTACGAGTTTAATCTAAGATTGTTTACAGTGCACGAGACTGACAGCTAATTAATAATATGAATTAATAATTTCAAATTGAATACCTCGAAAATGAATTTGAATCTTCTTATTTTTATTTTATCATGGTTCTCCTCAAATATTAGCCAGTTTTTTTTCTATTGACAACTATTCCGACTACTTAAAAATACTTTGTTTTTATTTAAAAATGTACTTTTCTGTAATTCTCCGCGACCAATCGTATAAGAAAATCTGAGAACTCGTTTATGTCTTTCTTATTTCGTGTATAATAATAAAAATTAATAAAAATGATCTGAGAAAATATCATGTAATATTACCTGACTTATTTTTGTTTTATTATTTTGTTCAAGATTTCTCAGAATAATTACAATAAACCGCTGTTAAAATTGGTAAAATCCCACAAACAAAAACCTCGGAACCCCAATGCATTACAAAAATGTAAGCTGTTGTGTGGTTCTATTACTGGAAGCTATACTTCACTGCGTTTTAAAGGGATTGAACCCAAAACTACTAAGCCTATCATGTATCTAAGCTTGATCTTTCTTAAGTTTTGAAACACTCAAATTAGCTTCAACTATCTTTGTTTAACATTTAGCCTATTTTTAACTCTGTTGTGAAAATAAAAAAATTTAATATTTAGGAGCTGGACTAGGGAGTAGTGCAGCAATGTCAGTTTGTTTCTCCTCTTCCTTAGTCCTCTACTCAAACCTGGTAATATTGTAGTGTAGTGTAGTGTAGTGTATTGTATTGTAGTGTAGTGTAGTGTAGTGTAGTGTAGTGTAGTGTAGTGTAGTGTAGTGTAGTGTAGTGTAGTGTAGTGTAGTGTAGTGTAGTGTAGGTTGAATATGTGGTTATTAACTCGGTTTTGGTTTACTAGACTAGAAATATAACTGTGAGCTAGAAACCGTTAATGATTATATTTTTATTATTAAAGTTGAACGAACAGAATACTGGTAATGGAAACTGTAAGGAGAATGGCCATGATACAAGGTATGTGTTAAAAAATATAACATTAAATGTTAAAATTCCACATTTGACATTTTACATTTTGATGCACATTAAGCCACGAAAGTTTACTTATAAAAAAAAATCGTAGGTGTAAAAAGTTAATTGGAACTTTTTGCAAAAAAAAATTCACAAGAATCTGATTTTTTATATAAAGAGAAGAAGTATAAACTCATTCACGCACAATTTCTAATAAAACTCTGTAATCTCATCTGCAAGAAATATTCAAGGTAGTCAATTAAATATTTAATTTTTATATTTTTTTATTTTAATACTTTAACCTTTTCATGGCTACGGTTCATGGAATTCAAATGATCATTAGATTTTAATATAAATGATTCGCTTTCTTGTAACACCTGTTGTTACATACGTAAATTTGGAAATGAAATCAAAAGACTTTTTAGTAAAATGTGCGTTATTCGCTGAGAATAAAAACAAAACTAAAATTCAAAAATGAAAGATCAAAAAAATGTTTATGCAAAAATAAAAGGCTGATAAGTCAAATATTTAATTTTTACGCGAAAAAGTGAAATTTTGACTGACTTTTAAACTTAACAAGTGGTCATAAAAAAAATTGATGTCAATTCATAAATTTTTAAAATGTAAATCTTCTAAAAATTTCACAGCGAATATTTAAAAAAATATAAAAGCCAGAAATTAAGAAATGTCCTGAGAGACAATTTTGATTAAAAGAAAGAACCAAGACGAGAACAATTATTAGTAATCACTGTATAGTATAAATTCTTAGTGCCTTCATACTAATTTTCTTAATACTAATTACTTTGTCTTATCAATGGTTTACAGGCTTTATATACAGATACTTCTCTATTATTATGTCTCCATTTATTTTTATTATATTATAAATTCACTTTTTAGTATAAAGGAATGAAGACTTAAATCTATGCAAACATGTTAAAGATATCTTTTTTTTCTCTAAAATTGTGGCTTCTTTGAAAAAGTGACTTGCAGTTTTATGCTTGAGAAACTCTATAGTATTTGGCAGAAATTTCAAGCTAGAAAACCGAGGATATCTTCCTTATTAATGTTCCTTAGATAAAGTTAAAAAGGGTACCATTGTGAATCAGATATGCCACAGCCCCTTTAAGACGAGGCCCCAGCATTTGTATTGTCAATGATTGTTAACAATTATTGAATCTAGAACTAGAAGAAAAGAGATAGAAATAAACCCTGAGAAGAGACAGTTAATATCTGATTGGGCGTTTATGGCGGAGAAAATAATGCATGGAACTCCATCAGGTATTAATATTTAAAATAATCATTTAAACTTTTTTCAAATTTTTTTAACATTCATATTAACATGAACCGCGCGAACATCATGTAATATGATGTATTCATACATTCCCCCCCCCGTCCCATTGGTGGATTCAGGGGGGCAGTCCATTACCCCCTCCCCCTGAATGAAATTGGGGGGGGGGATGTACCCCCCCTCTGGATTTTACAAAGTCATTTCTCGGAAGGCTTTTTTCTATGAGCACCGACAGTTTGGTCAACCCGTGAAGAATGGCGATGCACCCAAATATGTTTGCCTCAATTTGGGACAACAGTATTTTAAATGCTTTTTTTTCAAGCGGCCCAAGAAAACTAAATTATCGTAGATAGGAAAGGAGGATATATATTTTCTTTTATTTTGAACAAAAATTCCTTTTTTATTTTCAGGCTTCTTTTGATATACTTTTAATTTTAACTCTAAAAATAAACATGAAACTACTTGCAGATTGCTGGAAGAAAAATTAGAATGATTAAGAACATTATTTACTAAAAGATCAATAATTTAAAAGAATAATTCTCCCTTCATTGATATGATATGTATAATGTTTATGTATAAACTTTAATCCAAAATATTTTTTTTATATCGTTAAAGATAATTAAAAGGATTATTAACCCTAAACAGTCTGGGAGGGGGGCGTTTAGTGCGAGAGTTTAATTTTTTTGTCCTAGCACTCTAATTTTTGACACTATCACCGGAGAACAGAGTTAGTTTTAATCTTTGAAATCTGTGTGGAGTTGGAACAAATTTTAAGATTTGTTTTTAGAGCCTAAACAGAATGCCCCCCCCCCCCNCCGTGCAAAAAAATCTAAAATAGTAGCCCATAACTTTTTTTGAGACTAAAGCTCGCTACAAACCTAAAAAATATATTTTTTTAAAAGCCCTTGAAAAATGGATGTAGAAACATGCGTCACATCTTTATATTTGTTTGTACCAAAAATAATCTCGATAAATATTTTTACAGAGGACGTAAGGTCAAACTCTAATGAAACGCATAAAGTAACTTCCAGTGTATATATTTCTTATAACTTATTACTAGAGGGTTCAGAACATGAGTTGATATCAATATCACACGTGTAGACTGCAGACTGTCAGTACAATGCCCCGTATCCTTTCTATCTCATTTCGTTGAATCTTGTGGGACTTGTTTAAGGCGGCCAGGCATCGTCTTCCACATTTTAACACTTTTTTTTGCATTTTTTTCAACCCTCCCTAGCACGGAGTACCCAAACTATTAAAGATATCGGTCCAATTTTTTCTTCAATGACCTGGCCTTAACAAATTGGGCTAATAACATGCATTTCAACTCTATACCAATACTCTAAGGCCTTTTATTAGTAAGGGGGGGGGAGAGGGAGTGGAACATTTTTGTTATAAGATTACAGGGGGGGGGGGNCCCCCCCCCCTCCCCTCCTTACCGTAATATGAGGTATTCCTACCCAAAATTAAATATATCTATCTGACCTGTCTCTGTTATTCTGCCGCAAACCTTTAATCAGTCAAGTCAAAATTCTCGTCTCCTTGGGGCTCTATATATATCAATAATTATCTTATTCTCTTTATTTGCTTCCTTGTATCATAACATTTTATATTCACTCTCGACATCAGAACTCTCTTACTCTTTAATAATACCCATTCATCCCTTCTCACTTATGTAATTCTAACACACACTACCCTCACTTCTCAAACTTCTTCATAACTTGCATCATAACAATCACATTTTCTATTTTCCCATCCCCTTTCACACCCACTTCTCTTTTACTAACTCTCACTTTCTGAACCTACTGTCACCCCAACTCCTCGCTGTANTGGTAAAAATCTGTAGACCACTCACTCCAGTCATCCCATCCTATCTTCCTTCTTAGCTCTCTCTCTCTCTCAATCTCTCTCTCCATCCCCTCTGCCCCACCCTAGCACACCGCCCCTATTCCTGGAAAAATGTGTAAATATATATAAATATATGTTGTCCTGCGGCAGTTTGAATGCAAGATTCCTAAGATAGATTAGCTTGGCCGCATATATTCCAAATATAGGCATATTTTATACTGCCTTTGTAGGCTAAATCCACACCACCGTTTTCCATTCCAATATAAACAAGGCTCCCTCTAACTATAGGTTCTACCCTCCTACCCCCTCCCCTCTGTATAATAACGTTCTATTGTCTAGGAATAGACAACAGTGTCTCTACATTTGGAGGTGCCCTGGCATATAGGTCAGTAGAGGGTCATATCTATATCTTCTATATCCGTCCTACTTTAACATTTATCCATTCTACCAACCCACCACACACCACACCTCAACTACTTGCCAGGGATTCTAGAAATATTTGAAAACATAATATTTAATTTTCTACATAGCTTCTTGTAATCTATTGGCTCCGTACTATTTTTGTTGTAATCTCCGCCGTAGCTTTTTATATTCTCCTAGCTCCGTCCTTTCTTGTTATATTCTCCTAGCTCCGCCCTAGCTTGTTATATTCTCCTAGCTCCGCCCTAGCTTTTTATATTCTCCTAGCTCCGCCCTAGCTTGTTATATTCTCCTAGCTCCGTCCTTTCTTGTTATGTTCTCCTAGCTCCGCCCTCCCTAGCTTGTTATATTCTCCTAGCTCTGCCCTAGCTTGTAATATTCTCCTAGCTCCGCCCTATCTTGTTATATTCTCTTAGCTCCGTCCTATCTTGTTATATTCTCCTAGCTCCGCCCAAGCTTCTTATATTCTCCTTGCTCCGCCCTAGCTTGTTATATTCTCGTAGCTCCTCCCTAGCTTGTTATATTCTTATAGCTCCGCCCTAGCTTGTTATATTCTCCGAGCTCCGCACTAGCTTGTTATATTCTTATAGCTCTGCCCTAGCTTGTTATATTCTCCTAGCTCCGCCCTAGCTTGTTATATTCTTATAGCTCCGCCCTAGCTTGTTATATTCTTATAGCTCCGCCCTAGCCTGTTATATTCTCCTAGCTCCGCCCTAGCTTGTTATATTCCCCTAGCTCCGCCCTAGCTTGTTATATTCTTATAGCTCTGCCCTAGCTTGTTATATCCTCCTAGCTCCGTCCTAACTTGTTAATCCTCCTAGCTCCGTCCTAGCTTGTTATATTCTCCTAGCTTCCTTATCTTGTTACATTGTAGATCTGGAGAAATGTTGCCTGTATCTGATCTCAGTGGTCTACAGATTCTACTGGTAAAAATCATTTCTTTAATTCTCAAATTAAAAAATCTTAATTTGTGAAAATTATTCATAAATTGCAGGATGAAATCAATTTTGAACATTTCGAAGTGGACAATAAAATGTTAAACGACTAAACCAAAAGGGCCTTTCATTATCGCTCGATATGGCCTATTATTTTCCTACATTTATTGCGATCTTTCAAGGTTAAAAGGCCTTGAAACTGTAAAAATCCGTATTGGTTAAAAGTGTTCTCTATCTGTAGAATGCACAATTTCACATTAGGAAATATATTTCGATGTTTTTCTACATTATGATCCGTCCTATAGGACAGAATAGACCAATAAAATATAAAGTAAATGAATAGGCAATTATAGCAAAATTTAGGAAATTAAAAAAAACGTATTTATGAGAAGAGAAATTTAAAAAATTATTTGTCAATCTTAAGAATGAGAAGCCATGAGAAAATGATTGAAAATATATAAACATTCAAAACTACTTTAAAGCTAATGAGAAGCGGAATTATTATAGATTTTACTTTTTCTTTTATTTCGACAAATACCAAAAAGGAGTTTTCAATTTTTACCTATCACAACTCCGGAAATGCACCCGAGACATGTTACCAAGATATTTTAATAACAAAAGTTGCGAATATACAGAATTACATATTAAAAGAGTAGTGGATCGCTGTGTTTTTTTCTTGGATCGTGTTTAAATTGCCTTAAAATGGAAGTGTACGCTAGCATCACTGTGTTTTAGATATAAAACAGGTTGCAAATCAATTGTTACATAATTGCACGTGTTTATCTAGATTACTAAGGATAAGTCCAAAATCCTTGAGCAGTTTAAAGGTTTAAAGGGGGAATCGGAAATTAAGCTAATATTTTCTTTAATAGAAAATCTTGAATAACACTTCTAGGTCTAAGAAATGCTGTTTTTGCAAAGAAGAACTCAGAAACCAATTTGAGAAAATGTTTTGTTTAGGTAAATACAAAAGTTCCCAGGAATACTAGAGAACTAGTCTCAGCTGTTAGAAACAGACATATTCTTTTACCCAAGGTATCTTTAAAATAATTTAACCGAATAAAATACCGACAAACCGAGACCATAACTGAACTAATTCAAATAACGACATAAGTAGATCAAATCTGTAAACAGCATACACAACTGAACCAACCCACATAATGACAAAACTAGACAAAACCAACCAACAATATTGTTAAAATAACATCGAGGACGGGATAAATAGAACAACCCAATTAAAAAAAACAACTGAACCAGTTCAAATAACGACATAATTAGACCAAACCAAACAAAATATTACTAAAGCAACCAACATAACCACAAAACTATACCAAACTAACCATAAATTTAATAACAAGACCTAACAAAATAACAAACTGGAACTAATTAAATTGATTACATGACTAAATTAAACCAGCCAACAATAATAATAAACTAAAACCAATAACAACTTGAATAGACTTAACATCAACAACAATATAAAACAAGCCTAATATGTATATGCAAGGTTTTTGGGAGCTTTGCACTCTCTTTCTTAAAGACATTTATAATCGTTTTTTCTGTTTTAATTGAGATCGATCGGTTCAGCCGTTTTGACGTTCTTAAAATTAGCACAGTTTAAAAGTTATTAATTGGATAGGTTGAATTTTTTAAAGAAAACTTTATTGCAAGGCATAACTTGGGTTTTTTGCTAGTTTATAAACTAGTTTGGGAACCTGGAAACTATTTTTAGCTAGTTTCTAGAACTAGTTTGGGAACCTGGAAACTATTTTTAGCTAGTTTTTAAATTAGTTTGGGAACCTGGAAACTATTTTTTCCTAGTTTATAGAACTAGTTTGGCAACCTGGAAACTATTTTTAGCTAGTTTATAACCTAGTTTCGGAATCTGGAAACTATTTTTTCTTTCAAAAGTCAACTTAATCAACGTAGAACTTTAAAACCGAGCGATCAGAACATTCCTACCGACTTCCTTATTCTAAATTTAAGGCAAATCGGTAAAGCTGGATTCCTGATTTTTAATCGGACATACTAAAACAAAAACATGCAGAAAACCATAGATTACCACGTTATTTATAAAGAAATATTGTTAAGGTGATTGGGCCGATATTTGACGCAATTGAGCGTATTACGCAGACTGCTATATCCAGCCTTCAAGCATCAGCAATCAAGGGGTTCAAGGGATGCCAGGAGGAGTTTAGAACACTAGAGGTATGTTCATTCAAAATCTTCTGTGGTCAACGCAGCATTCATTACAATGAACATGACATTTTCCGGGAACGTTTTTTTCCGCTGAAAATTTCGCACTTTTTCGCAATCCGTTAGTAGGAAAAATGCGAAAATTTTCGTTAATCTGTTTGGCGAAAATGCGAAATTTGCATTTTTCGCGAAATTTCGCATTTTTTCACGAAAGTTTACGTTCAATGGAAACTCTAAATGTACCTGATTTCAATATATACAGTGGTAACATCTATTTTTCTATCTATCTCATTATCCAATAAGAGATAAATCCTCATATCGTCGCTATAACAATTAATGGAAATATGTACTTCTACTGAAACTATAGTGGGTGGGAGTCAATTTGACCCCCCCCCCTTTAAGCAGTATTGAGTTTCAACAGCATTAAATAAAATTAAGTTTTATTATACAATTATTTCTTAAATCTTTATTTTTATACAATTAATTTCTAAAACCCGGTTCTGAAGGTGTACTTTGTCACAAGTTTTTGTCTCCAGTAGGCAAACGTACTTTTTGTGCGTACTTTAAGGGTTCCAGACTCCTAGTCATATTATCCGTATATAACGCATTAAATTCGTCTCCAGGATCTTATGCAAACCATTCGTAATTCAGGCATAGTTTGCATATGCAAATATTTAAAACAAACACGGTCGATTTAACATTTTTAAATCCTCACACATGTTTGTTAATTTCTAGAACTAAAAAAACATATTGGCCGAAGATAAAATTTTAATTNTTTTCCGCCCTGTACCCTACAACATAAATTTAAAAAAAATAATCAATTTTTTCATGTTTTTAGAACTTGATCGACATCAACCAGGGTTTACTGGCAGGACTGGGCGTATCCCACCCCGCCTTAGGCCGGGTTGTGGAAATATTCGCCGGTAACTCTATTCACGCCAAGCTGACCGGAGCCGGAGGCGGAGGTTTCGCCCTCGGCCTAATAACGCCGTATGTTCAACGTCAGCAGGTTTACAATATTTTCTTTCTAGAGTATTTTTACAAAATACAGTGAGACACATTAAACTGTAAAAGAGAAAGATCGAATATAAGACTCAAGTTATAGTTTTAAATAGTCCATGTAAAGGAAATTGTCCAATGCACACAGTACACAGACCAATTTTACTAAACAAGTTTATTTTAAAGCTAACGGTAAAACTATTTTCTTAAATGCAGTCTTCCTATCTTAGTTTTATGGGTCTCATTGTACTTTTAATGAGAGGAGATTGCAATATTCATCTATTATCATAAAGGGTTATTCTACAAGGATTACTTTAATGACAACCTTCAACAGAAATATGACGCCTGAAAGTTTACTTTGTTCTACTGTAGGGTTACCCACAAAATGTATACCGTATGTTTCCTTATATTCAAGGCAAAAGACTTAATTTAACCTTAAACTCGTCATATTTCAAAAGTTTAAGGTCGTCTTTGTAGGTAACCTTGAGAGAAAACATAAGGCAAAAACGAACCAAAAATCTATTGTTTTGGTTCCATTTTCTGCATATATCTTTTCTCAGGGTTAAGATTTTGCATGGTTTAAGAAAAACCAATTGTTCAGAATTTTTTTTTTTTTGAAATATGTGGAACGTTTAATTATTCCAAAAATTTTGAAATATGTGGAACGTTTAATTATTCTAAAAATTTTATATGAAAGATATATAACGACTCTTGCTTTATTTCCCATTAGAAGCCACAGAAACCATTTAATAGGATACAGTCGTATCTTAAGTCTCATTCTTTGTGGAAAGCCCAGTATAAAAAATATGGAAAGCTGAACTAATTTTATTTTATTTTGAAGGTTGAGAAATCAAGACATGAACTCGAGGATCTAGGATTTCCATGTTATGAAACCCAAATAGGTGGTTCAGGTGTTAGGGCCTGGTACAGCTAGATACAATGTACACTGTACAGGTTGGGTACAGCTACCTCCCATATTCAAAGGAACACAGGCCCGGTACAGCTAAATACACTGCTTGAGTGTTCAGGCCCGGTACAGCTAGATACACTGCTACAGTGTGTGGCCCGGTACAGCTAGATACACTGCTACAGTGTACAGGCCCGGTACAGCTAGATACACTGCTACAGTGTACAGGCCCGGTACAGCTAGATACACTGCTACAGTGTACTGCAGGCCCGGTACAGCTATAGATACAATGCTTCAGTATAAAGTCCCGCATACAGTAGGATCAGAATAATAAAGACGATCACAATTTTTTTTTATGCACACACCCTGGATTAACCAGACTTAGAAGCATTTGGTTTCTTCTATTTGAAATCTTACGCGCTTTGGTCTATAATCAAACAATCTTTAAACTTACGGTTTTGTTTGTTTTAGACTTTTCATTCAAAATGTATTTGTCGGCAACAAAGTATTTTATGTAAAGGCTAAACAATTATGTTTAATAGCAAAATTGTGATCGAAAGTCACAGCTTTCTGGAATATTGACAGAACCGTTAAATACACGTGCACAACATTCAAATAATTATCTTTATTTGATTTTGATTATGAAGTCGACATTTTTGCTGAATTTTTATTTTATTATACAGCCATAGCACTTATCGTGTTGTACTGTACGGGCATAGTACTGTACAGGCATAGCACTTATCCGTGTTTACTGTATGGGCATAGTAGTGCACAGGCATAGCATCAATCGAGTTGTATTGTACGGGCCTGTAGTGTACAAGCATAGCATCAATTGAGTTGTACTGTACGGGCCTGTACTGTACAGGCATAGCATCAATCAAGTTGTACTGTACGGGCCTGTACTGTACAGACATAGTGTTAATTGTGTTGTACTGTACGGGCCTAGTTCTTGGGTATTAACGAAAGTGATTTTTTTTTGTGTAGACGAATGGATAGATAGATAGAGCATTAAAGTTATTGTAAACGATATTTCAAGTGCCTTTCCATAGATACAGTGGCATTGTGGATTTACAAAGGTACCATTGAAAGCTTTGTCTGATCAAGTATGAATTAGATTTCAATTTTTTTGTACAAAAAAACTGATTGTTTCTTTTGTGGTTTTATATATTAAATTAACCTGCGCATTTCTTGCATCAAAAACAATTAAGAAATTATCAGAGCCAAACAGTTTTCAAGCCTGAAATCTTCCACATTATTAATCAGATTAATGTTTCAAGGGTACTATTGTGAATTGGGAATACGCCTCTTCAAACAGTTCCTTTAAGCTCAATGATCCAACACTACTGCAACAAAACAAGCTCAAAAGTTATTTATTAGAGCATTTATTTAATCTTTAAAAGCTCGCAGTTTTCTCTTTTGATTATTTAAACAGTAATCTAAAATTCTTAGTTTTGCAAAAGAAAAATTTGCATCGATCATACAGAACATAAACCCGGTTTATAATTAGCTAATTTACAATTTTCGAAATTTTTTTTTATGTAAACCGATCTATCTTTCCTTTAACTTGCATTTTAGTTTATCATTTTAATATATGTGTGCAAATTTACTTTTTCGCAAACAAATGTATTATTAAAATTAGCACAGATGTTTAGTGCTAAAATATTTATTTTGATAACTATTTTTAACAGTTCTTTTATAAATGTTGAAAATGTTCGAGGTGAAAAGTCCCTCTGTACCCTCTGAACCCTCTGTACCTGTTTTTAATGATATTTTTAAAAAGTAATATTTCTTATGTATAGATAAATGTCTTCCTAAGATTTTTATGCAAATGTTTAATAACTATTATCTTTTTTTATAATTAATTTTACAAATATACTTTTATATACTTTATTGTCTTTTATAAGAAACCAGCTAAAATCTCGAGAGGAAGCTAAAAAATAGACATTTGTGTAACAGTTTATCTTCTATATAATAATGCTCTTCACTCACAAAGTGAATAATTAATCACTATAACTGGTCAAACGACTAGTCCTATATAATTGGCTGACTTTTTTGACGGAACCTATGTATACCCTGGGGGTAATCAGAAATAAATTTTTTTTCGTCTTTTCAAGAGCTCTTCAAAAAATTGGTTATTACTAAAAGCATGAGATTTCATAATAGCGTGAAAGGAACTGATTCTTTGCAACAAACTCAAATTGACTCATACCTATATCTTTGCAACCTAATGATGTAAACCTTATATTATCTGATCTAACAGAATTCATGATTTAAAATATGTACACGACATTGGGTTGCAATTGTAAACACATAGGGATTTGTAGCAAAATGTTTCGCGAACTTTCGCTAAATTCTTTAATCAGGTCTTGAACTCAAAGCCAACCAACACGCGGATAAAGAACGGGTAGAAGCAATAACGTGTATTTCTTCAGTATGTTTTTATGCTGAAAAATACATATTATTAACACAAAAATAACTAATAAATAACAATAGAAATACAACTAGTAAAAATAGTATTAACAATTAATTAATAGTTATACCTAATACGCTCAGGAAAGCGCTAAGTCCTTCTAAGACTTTGACTGTGTATACTCATGAACATTGGTAACCATATGCACATTTTAAACAGAGTTTGTTTTTAAACACGAACTGGTCTGAGCTAAACAGGGGGGGAGGTGTACTGCAATATATCAGTAAAATCATAGAGAAAATACAAAACAGACATTTTGATACAGCTATGATAATGTGGTAAAACCACGAAACACAAAACCTCAGTTCCTTTACTCTTATTAAACATAATTTAACATGGAATAGATGCAATTTTTTCCATTTAACAATTCTTTATATTTTCAGCAATAAACAATGCATTTACTTATAATTTTTCACTCAATACATTTTAAAATTGGAAAATCCTGATGTATTGCCGGCAAAATGAAATTTTCAAATTTTTCAATTCGAATACAAGGCTTTCCCCAAATTGTTTCATTTCCTCAAAGATTTATTTACAATTCAATAAAATCTTCTTTAGGAAGAATAGAGATACAAATATATATTTCCTCAAAAGGTTTTTGACTGCCATTTAATGATTTAGCCGCTACTTGTTGCATATTATACCCATTCATTTGTTAAGTTTTACAATGTTTAAAGATATACTCTAACCTTTCACATTAAACATAAAACTTATGTATTTAGTTTATATGTTATATCCAAAGGGTCCATAAATATCCCTTCTAATTGGTCGTGTACTCCAGTTGTACACAATGGAACCTGTTGTAGAAAATATTGCATAGTTTATCCCTTAATAGATCTGTGTACTCTCTTATCTCTGTTATACTATAATACTTGGAAGGATTGGATTTGACATTGGGGAAAATATATCCATTGTTAACAGGATCAGAATGTATGCACTGTGTCAAAAATATTTTAAGAATAAAGTGTTTGATATATTGAAAATCAAGGGTGTAATGCAAGGAAAGTTAATTGCGGTTGTGTATACTCTGCATACATAATGAAACCAGTTCTCTTTGGGCGGAATTTGTAAACAAAAATAGATGCATCAGTGTTCGTTTAGTTTCCGAGGAGGTTAAAAGCATTAAATTTGATAATTTTGATTATTCACATAATAGTTTCCTATGTGAAAAATGGATCCCATATCAGGCTGTAACATCCGTCTTGCGTTTACATTACCACATAGAGACAGTACACTACAGTACAAAAGATGCGTACTAGGGAGTAAGGAATAGAAGGGAGATATAACTGACGCGGTTCCCCCTACCATATGATTATACATGCTTTACAGACGAAGTACTCCATTTGAATAAGAAATATTTAAATGTCGTCTTATGCACAATTACCGCGTATATGTATTCAGAAAAGGTCATTGAAATTACATTTAACAGGGAAAAAAGTATGCTGAACATCGCCAAATAAATTCATTTTTTAAGATGCAAAATAATTAGCAATACAAACGTATTTTTTTATATTAAATAAGATTGTTTTCATTTATTATGGTAAAGTAAAAAGTACATTTAAAAAATTAAAAGAAGACCTTTAAAAAAACTCGTTTTCAAATGGAGTACTTCGTCTGTAAAGCATGTATAATCATATGGTAGGGCGAACCGCGTCAGTTATATCTCCCTTTCTATTTCTTACTCCCTGATGCGTACACTTTTGAAATAACTTTCCTTGCATTACACCCTTGTTAAAAATTATGTTTATGGCAGGCCGACATGAAAGGTCATGAAAGCTTTCCTTTTTTAAATCCTGAATACATTTTCATGATCTTGAAAAATGCTGATAAATCAAAAATATTGATCAGTTGAACCTTGATATCCGGGAAAATATATTGAATATTAATACTTGAGTATAAAATGTATGTATTTTAGTGATCTTAAAATTAATTTATATCAAACCGTTTTTAACCCTATTCCTACAGACGTCTCTTCTGCCCAACATATCGTGAGTGTATTTGCCAATTTTATATAAATCCAAATGTATATTGGGAATTGCAGTTATTAACTAAAAAATAACAAATTATACATTTTTGAAAAGCCCTTGACCATGCCATTTCAAATATGCAAAAATTTTTGCAAATTTTTTAAAATATAGTTGAACAATCTTCCGCCTATTGTCATAGGCTTTCCAATAAGGTTTAGAATGTTGAAATCCAATGACTGTGATTTAAGCTCTCAAGCAAAAATCTATTAGAATTTTGTCAATTATTTCTTTAAATCCAAAGCTAACAACAAGTGCATTTCAGTGCTAAAATATACACGTAAAGGGCTACAATAAAGTGAGTTAAAGTTCTAATGCAAGGAAAGTTAATCGCGGTCATGTATACTCTGAATACAAATTGAAACCGGTTCTCTCTGGGCGGAATTTGTAAACAAGAATAGATGCATCAGTGTTCGTTTAGTATCCGAGGAGGTTAAAAACATTACATTTTGAAAATTTTGATAATTCACATAACAGTTATCTATGACCAGAATATTTCATTGATTATTTATGTGAAAGATGGATCCCATGTCAGGCTTCGACATCCGTCTTGTGTTTACGTACACTTCTGAAATAACTTTCATTGCATTAACTCATTGATTATAAATTATTATATATATTTACTTTTCGAACTTACTTTTTGCAATTTCTATAAACCTTTAGTTCCGTAAAATGACCCTTGAAATTAGGCTACAAAACTTTCAACACCATATACAGGCTTTAATAATGATTCCAGGGAATCATTGAAGGATATACGTAGACATTCAAGTCCCTAATCTGCTATTCAAAGTGGAGTGAAAGCTGAACTTTCTTTTTCAGGCAGAAACCATTTTGTTTATGTGCAGGATAGTTTTGTATATCCAGGATGTGCCTTTCTTGTTCTTTTTAAATTATCTGAGATATAAATGATTTTGTTCAGATTTGTTATTAATTAAATAAAACCAAAATTCTTTGAATCTAGATAAAATCCGGAAATAAAAAAAATCAATAAACGCAGGGCACATTTTTTATTTTTTGAAATTATTGTTTCACGAAATTAGTTTGTAAAACTATGTTTACAAATAAATGCCGCAAATTGTTTCAAGGAGCGAAGACGATCTTGTGGGCACT